AGAACGCGTTATTAAACAAATACTGGACGGACTCGACCGGAAACGAACGCGTCCGATCGAAAGAAGAAAAAGAATTTAAAAAGAAGCTGTGGGATTATTCATCATGGGGATTCGGATCCCTATGGCGGCGAGTCGAGCACCGTCACGCAGCGTTTTGTTTCGACATGGACGCGCCCGGTCCTGAGAGTTGGTTTTGGAATGAGGGAGAGCAAGGAAGAGCGAATCAAGTTAAAAAAGCATGTGCGTGGCATTAATGATGTCTTAACATACTAATCAATCATTAAATATATTAATCACAAAAAGTGTCCAAATTTGTTCCACCACGCTTCTTAGAGCGTGACTCGCTGCCGAGGAATCGACAGTCAGTCGAGCGACGACGTGTAGTCGAGAAACATTAAAGAATTAAAATAGACACTGCGAGCTCCTCTATTCGGCTTTGCCGTTTTCCCATCCCTATCCCCACGTAACGAATAATTCCAGAACGGACGACAGCTACGAAACTAGCTATCCCCTAACGGCTAACAATAATTATTTCCTCCTACGCGATAATACCAACTCACCTCAAAAAAACGTGGTACCAGCAAGTTCACTAATAATCGCACGAATTCCCAGTACGATAAATCGCCTACTTCCTCTTGAAAAACAAAATCTGAAACTTCCGAGCACCGACAGGATAACCTCTCGAAAATCGACAAGCTTCGACAGAAGAGTCGCGAAAGTTTTTCAGGCAATTTCTGGGAGGTTAGAGGGGGTCGAAATTACGCCCGGGATCCGCGAAACACTCGAACTCCTCTCGAGACGCGACTTTGTATTGGTTAACGAGCGAAGAACCGAGCGCAAATGGAAATTTTCGAGATCGAGCTGGCGAAGTTCTCCGTCGGGTCGCGGCCAGCAGTCGAACTCCACTCGAACCCCTCGATGAAAACGGATTGCCCGAGGCTTGGTTCGACGTCAAAGAGCGACGACGACGCCGGCACAGACCCTTTCGGTCGCAAGAAGAGAGCCCGTCGCGCGAAAGGGAACTTTTAATTTGCGTTTCCGCGTCGAGCGATCCGATTCGCGACGACGGGAACGAGTGGCCGATTACTGACAGAGATTGGTAACTGTTATTAGAAAGGGTATCAGAAATTACGTAGGGGTCTACTAAGCTTTGCAGCTAAAATTAATAACATGTTTCGTTCGAAGGGGGTAAGGAGGAAAGAATTGTCTCAAGCTCCTATTTTTGTTGAGATTTCGAAGCCGTTGTTAAAAATGTAAACGTCAGCTGTTAAAATTGTTCAAATAATGAATACGTTGATATTTTTAAAAATGCAATTACGCATTTTTAATTTGGACAATTAGGCTTCCAAGGGTTCAAGGCTTCCAAGTTTAGCATTCGTGGCAATAGAACGGTGAGAAAGCATCTCGAGCTGCTGGTAAATACCAGAAAGAAAGGCCTCGAGTGCAAAGGGTTGACCATTTTCCAGGGTCCCTTTGATGTGTCCGCGGTTCGAAACTTTTCGAAACTTGGCGATGAGGTTCCTCGTGTGTCCGACGCAGTGAACCGAAGCTTCGATTCGACGAGGAGTCCTTGGAACAGCGAAGCCGCTGCATACGAGGCAATTCGCGCATGCAAAACTGCCAGAACGAACTATGCCTGCAGCAGCTTTACGACCCGCTGACTAACCGGGACTGGTTAATTGACCGGTCGGACCGGACAAAGCGACCTCGTCGTCCGGAACCGCGACATTGTTCGAAACTCTTCACGCACGGTTCAACCGTGCCCGAAACGCAGTCTCCGCCAGGTTAATTAGATACCATCGTCGTCGCGAACTGTTCTCGGGATCGTACCACCGCGACAACGAGCGATTGCTTCGCGGTAACAACACGCAAACTGTTCCGCGTGGTTAATGACGAAAGTGGAAAGTGAAGAATTTGAACGAGAGGTGGATAGAATTTGGGTGGACGCAATTTAGAGGTCCATAGAGAAGATCAGACGTGTCACAACCCCCTATCCAAGGCTTCGGAAAAGCTGGAATCTTAGACACAAGTATTCAGAATCTAACACGATCGGTACCTCTCGTTCAGAGGGAATGCTAGGCTTCGCGAAAGCTGAAATCTCTGATCTCGTCTCTTAGTAGAATCAAACGCGACTCGGTAGCTCCCATTCAGAGGGAGTAGGCCTTACTAGGGTTTGCAAAATCTGAAATCTGATCCCAGCCCTCAGAATCCAACAGAATCGATGGGATTTCCTTTTGGGTGGAAGCGTGAGAAGCTGCAGATGGCGAAAGGAGTGGATTTGAAACATGGAGGACGTTTTAGTGAAACCTGAAGAGCCGAAGGACCGATGAAGGTTCCAGAGTTGTTATTGAAAAGGGATATTCCACTCGAGGTGACAAGAGTCCGGAGCCCTTAACAAGGCGAGTGCCTCTCGTCGGGAATTCGTCCGTCTACTAAATTGAATTAACGAACGGAATTACTTTAATTAGTGCGGCTAATTAGGCAGCTTTATGGGCCGCGGTAATTGCCGCGCCGTAGACGAGTTATCGCGGCTGTTATATCGGCGTCGGTCTGGCCCGGATAAATCTGAATTGTTCGCGCACGAGAACGTTTTCGGTTGGCTCGAGCGTGTCGGGAATAAAGGCGGAAACGGAGGATTTGTTTCGCCATCGATGGCCCCGCCGCATAGAGAACGCGCTGCGTTGGGAAGAACGCGCGGCGATCGGGCTCGAACACTGTGAGATATAAATCGACGTGGCAACGAGGAATTCCTTTGCAACGCCAGCGTGGATCGTCCTTTGAGGATTAGTCCAGCCTGTCGGAATCGCTGCTTGGTAACGGAATTCGAAACGAAATGTGGGGGGAACAACGGCTCCTTCATTTTTACCACTGTAGCATGCTGGACCTTTCGTTCTGGATTAGGTCTGTCGCGTCTGTTTCCATAAGCGATTGATATGAATTGATGGGAAATGAGAAAGACTGCGCTTCGCTTTTGAGATAATTTTATTAGCCTGCGCTTCTACAGGCTACATACGAAGCAGCTCAAACATACTCCTAACAAAGAAATACGAGTCCCTAATTAAAGATACTCCATCGCTCAAGTAGAAACGTTAATAAATAAATCCTTAATATGATATAATAAAGTGCTTCAGATATGCTCTAAAAAGTCACCGATCCCAGAATCTTCCAGAACGAAGCTCCGCTCTGGAACCTCCGCAAACACTTTCCTCAGCCAGATCAAACTTTCCCCTAACGTCGATAGGCCTCCAGTTTTCGATCTCTACGTGCCTGGAATCATCGAGGCCAAGTCTACCGGGGCGTGACCCAGCGCCACGTGTCTCACATCCAAAGAAAATCAACGATCCTGGTTCTCCGTTGCTGTAGGGACTTTCGGTCGGAGTTCCTGAGGAGGCGTGACCACCGAAGGACAAGTAGTGGCATCATTTGGACTAGCGACGGCGTGAAAAATCACTGTTAGTTAAATTTATAAACAAATTTATAAATGACTGTTAGTGATTTTTCACGGTGATCACACAATCGCGATCGCAGTCGCGATTAAATCTTCGATCACGACCGTGATCCGGAAGATGGCGTTTCAGAAACGGTTCATATTAATTGTATCGTTTGTGTCTCGCTGTCTCCCCTTAGCGGAAATTCAAGAAACTACTAATGAGTGACATTTAAAGTGTATTAAAATTATATTAACACTGCTTTTAGACCATATTATAATACATATATAATTAAAGAACAACATAATTCGTGAAAAGTGAAAAGAATGTTCTCTACCAATCAGAAACGAGTCACTGTGAAAAATCATCGTGATTGAGAACGAACGTGATTGAATCACGAGTGATTCAAAAGTAGCAGTTCACGTCATCTCTAGTCTGGAGAACGACGACGAAGTGACCCGTCGTCTGTCGTTTCGGTAAACCGATTCGAGTAGCCAAATCAGCGTCTCGTGACCTCAGTTATACAAGGTCGAGTTTCGCCACTACATCCACCGGAAGACTCCTCGTTCCTCTTTTCGCGAAAGCCTGTTCGAGCAACCTGTGTCCTTCGAGTGGCATTCGAGGTTGCTACTTCGACCGGGGCTCTGGACTATTCTCTAGGCGCTTGTTAGGTAAGAATATCCTCTTGAATGGATTTGGGACAAGTTGGTGGCCCTTCATAGGCTTGTTACCGAGGAGGCATCCTGGTCCAGGAGGACCATGCTTGTAGAATTTTCGCAATGGAGTGTACTCGAAAGATGTCTGTTTAAGGGGAAATACAAGTGTGGTGGCACCTCCGCTCCTCGCCTCCAGAGGGAAACTCGCGGATCGCGTTTTCCACAAGCACTTAGTCCCGCCTAACTTTCCTATGTAAGCCTTTCCCGACCGAACTCCAAATATCCCGGTGTCTAAGGCACTAGCAGGCCCAGGACGAAACTCCTCTACAGGCATTCAACCCCCGCACAAGATTTCGGAAAAACTTGGAATCTTAGACACAAGTATTTAGAATCTAACACGATCGGTATCTCTCGTTCAGAGGGAACGCTAGGCTTCGCGAAGACCGAAATCTCTGATCTCGTCTCTTAGTAGAATCAAACGCGACACGGTAGCTCTCATTCAGAGGGACTAGGTCTTACTAGACTTTGCAAAATCAGAAATCTGATCCCAGCCCTCAGAATCAACCACGATCGGTAAGATTTCCTCCCAGAGACTATTATATTAGGTCTGGGTTAGAAAGTAATCTCGTTTTTGGAATTTTAAATACTTCTCTATCACTCATCAGGTCATTGATTTTGATCGATTTGGCATTGAAAATTCGCGCACTAGATGACAAGAGGCTGATAACGAGTGCGATTACATGATTAATTAAAAATAGAAATTTATCAAAAATTTGTTTGGATTTAATGTGAAAGAAACGACATTACTTTCCAGTCTACCTAATACTTCCTTCTTTCAGCTACACGGTATATCGCATTGATCTCGAGCCAATCTCGGCACACAAGGCAAATAAAAGTAACTGCAGAAGCGACTCACGATGGCCTGTTGGTCCACTCCGTTCGGTGGCGGTGGCGGACTAAAACTGGCGGCTGTCGGTGCACCGGGGGCCGTTTGGTGAGGAGCACCTGTCGGCTGCGGCACCTGGGGCCCGCTGGGAGGCGGTTGCTGGGGCGCGCCGGTGTTTTCTTCTTTGACCGGGACTGGAGGCGGTGGTTTCACTTCACCGGCTGCTCCAGCCGCCCCGACGACGCCCGCGACGCCGTTCACCGGCGGAGGGAAGACACCCCCACCGTAGGGCGCAGCCATTCCTGTCTGCACCATGTGCTGCAAGTAGAAAAAGAATTCTGTTTAGTCGAAGTAGCTAAGTATACTCGAGTGCCGAGATTCCAAGTAGCCGTCGGCAAGGATCTCCGGGAGTAAGTAAGTAAGGAGTAAGTGTCCAAAGTATCGAGCCCGTTAGCTCCTGAATCGCGCGGATATCGGAATTCCTATGTACCGCGGGGTACCTAGGCGTCGGATCGGCCGCGCAAGAAGCACGGACCGAGTTTTAAATAGCTCTGACCCGGCACCGAACGCGAGCAAAATTCAAATAAATATTCCATCGCAGCCCCGACCAAACAACGCAGGCTTTATTTTTGCATTTTAAATGCGACGGTCGGACGAGACGATGATTTGTGCCCGCATGCATTCCTCGCGAATGCGAAAGGTAAATAGGCTCGATGGCTTGTATTAAAAGTGGATGCCGCGCGGACAAGCCGCAAATCATCTCGCGTGTCGCACGCGCGACGATTAGCGACATGCTAGGAAAACCAACCCCTCTCCCCTTGAAGCTTGGTTCGATAAAAGAAAAACTCGCGGGTGGAGACAAGCATCCGTAAGTGGAAAAGTGTATCGTCTCGACGAGGGAAGCCTAATCCCGTTATTTCGCGATCGATGGACGGTACTTTTCGATCCCCGCCGACGAAATATCGATCAGCGACCCAGTTTCGCTTCTGAAATTAATTATTGCCAAGCAGATGGCGTCCTATATGAGAGGATGTGCAGCAATCAGTTGAAAGCTCCGTTCAGAGATTATTTGCGCCGGCATAAATTGCGTGTACGTCGGCCGAGTGAAGTTTCATGGATGTTTTCGTTCGCGAAATTATTATCCGGGTAAGATAGAAGATCATTGTCAGCGTCAACAACGCGATAGGCGCTTCGCAGGCGGAACCTTTGTTCCGTCAACCTCGATTAACGCGCATTTTCATGTACGTATGCATCATTAATCCCTAGGAATGATTACGGGTCTGTACGTCCAGACTGCTCCCTGGTTGATATACTATGAATTATGGCAGGCCAGTCTTGATATTCAAGTTCTACTCGTCGATAGTGTTTCTGTTAAATCGAACCTTTTTTCCTACCAACGAGTCATTGCAAGTTTAACTACGAATGCTCTTGGGTACCTGAAGAGTACATGACGAATGTGAAGAGATGAATCTTCAGGGGTACCAGAAGTATGATTAACTTAGAGAATAGTGGTACGTTATAGACGTAATTTAATTCCTACGTTCTCAATGTCTAAGAGCCCCTGATACATAATTCTTTACGTTCTTAACGCCTAGATGCTCAAATATCCAATTAATTCTGAAGACTCATCTTTCAATGTATCCACCAGTTTTGTTCGCACCGCCTTTTACAATCCTCAATTTTACAACTGATGCTCCTCAGAATCTCAACATCTGTATACCTAACGCTTAAGTGGCCAAATCTCCAAAAACAAAAGCCCAAATTATAGTCTCAACCCTTAATCGAGCCTCTCGAGCCTTTATCTTGCAACAATATTTTACAGCTACCATAATCCAACTCCTCATGGTGTCAACACCTGTACAGCCGACGCCTAGGTGGCCAGATCTCCGCCAACAAAACCCCGAATTCATTTTCACCCCCAACGACTCGCCATCCCTCACTCCGTTCACTTCCTCAAGCAATTCCCCTGTTTTGCAACGCGACCTCGTCCTGCCCCGTCCACCTGAAGGACAATTTCTCTAAGGAAGATCGATGTGTCCCCAGGAATCCCGAGAGAGAAGAAAAGCGCCACGAATGCAGATCCGAGGAGCGGTCTCGAGGCAGCCAGCCCTTAAAGTCGGCAAATGGAGCCGATTTCTCCTCAACCGCAACAGAAACAACCGCGACGGGCATAACTCCCGCGGGACAGCTTACGGATTGTACGTCCGGTCGTCTTTCGAGATTGCCTTGGATATACACCTGACCTTACGCGAGCCGGAGGAACGCGAAGTTCGCGGGGACCATTTGTTACATTTGTTGAGTTACGAAAACTCAATCCCGCGGAGCTGCACCGTTCGAAGAAACATCCGTTATTTAGAGGTCGATACGGAGAATCTGCTGAAAGTTTCAAGGGTGGAGCACCCGAGTACCGCGAGTGAAAAAATTGATCCGAGAGGTGGGCGAGCTGATAATATTTAGAGTTTACTATCTTTATCGACGTTTATGTAGAGCCTAGTTTACATTGAACGGACAATTTCATTATATTTAGTTTGAGATCAGAGATGCTCGAATATTTTGGAGCATGCGAAAATTGTGAACAATGCGGATTACTTTGAAAGTGATTAAATAGAAATCGGTGACTAAGTGAGTTATTTGTAATATGCTTGATTAAGTATGCATATAGTTCCGTACAGTGTACAGTTATAATCTTGACTGGAAATAAGTACAGAGGAGACTTAATATTATTCCAGAAAGCATGTGCATGTATATATGTACATGTTTGTATTAATAAGTAAAATAGTCAGTCTTACAAATACTATCCAAAGTAAACCTCTATAAACAATGAACTTGTTTTATTTAACTCATCCTGCAACTTTTTCAACAAGGTATCGCGTCCTCGTTAATCGAGTATGACGTGAAACGTGTTCCTGATCTCCATCATCCCAAAGGTGACGTAAACATCGGAGTAGAGCTTCAACGGAGGTGAACGTTACTAGTCGCCAACGTTTGAGGAAGACTTCGATTCTCAGAAACCCCGTTTAACCTGCTTCTTATCCCTCTGTTTCGCGCGTAATAACCATAAGACCCTGCCAACTACGTCGCCACGGTCTGCTGCTCCCGTAGGGGAAGCTCTGAATGGCCTCCTTGTGCAACCTACGCGGATGGTTCCTCCAATCTCTCGGCCGCAAAAAGCCGGACAACGGGGAATCGTTGAGCCGCTTATTAGGAGCCGGGTGCAATTTTTCCTCGAGATACCAGGAACACAACGAGAAACAATGCGCTCCAACAACAGCGGTGGAAAATCCAGGCCAATTTCGCGCGATGCTGCTCGTATCACGCTGATAACCGCGGATGTTCCCACAAGAAATTCTCAACCGATTTCTGGCGTCTTGGATCTCGATTAAGAAGGCCCATTCGGAAGGTCCGTTGTCAAGGTTTACTACCATTTCGTGTAGTCTGAGAAAGTAAAGTCTAGGATCCCGATGCTTGGTGGTTTACACCATGTTCTCCAATTTTTGCAGCAATGTTGCCACAAATTAAAAAGCTACAAGGCTAAAACCTATCGAGTTCTTAGTACCATGGATACAACTCGAGAAAAAGTTCCTTCTTTGTGGTCGCCGCGGATCGTTGCAATTAAATCCAAGGACGGTCGCGTTATTAAAATCGGAGGCTAAATTGCCAGGTTCCTGAGGAGTCCTTCCATTATTCCTCCGGAAGAACAATAGAGGGTTTGCCATGAAAGTGGGTTAACCCGGTGACACACAACCGCGCGTGGGTAATTAGGTCGTGGGAATCGCATCCACCCCCATTATTCTGTCTTCTACGCGCATGGAACTACTCTTTCGTGAGATAAGAACGCGTGAAAAGAGTGGAGGCGATTCTTCGCTGGCGATCCCCGTTCGTTCATCGCGGCTCTTTCAACAGCCGGATCTCCTCGGGTCTTCATTCTTCGAGTCTTTCCGCCTAGGGAGCTTCCCTTTCGACGCCATTGTCTTCCCCCTTTTTTTCCCTTAGGCGCGACGCTCTTCAGTATTCCTTTTTATTTCTCTTCGTTCAGCTCGTTAGACCCTTTTCGACCATGTTTGGATCTACTCGGGATGGAAAATTACTCGAGACGCGGTGCTTTCAAGCTAAAGGACGAGTGAGGATGGATAGTCATGTGAAGGTGATTCTGAGAAGTTTGATTCCTAGATATATGGTCTTTGAAGCTTGGATGGTCTCTCTAGTCACGTGTGAGTGACTTTGCCCTACAAACTGGTTCCTTACAAAACTTTGACCTCCCTTAAAGTCTTGAACACTTAGAGTCTGTATCCACTAGAACTGTCCTCCAGTCATATATACGCATAGTACTCCAATTACAGAAGCCTATCTAGCAGTGTTAATTCACAAATTCTCATCAGCAGCATCTACATCGGTTTACTGCGTGCCACGAAGCGTTATCGACCGCGGGATAATGCAGGAAGGACCCTTACCATTCGAGCTTGGACCATCTCTGCCAGATCTGGCAGTAGATTGGTCGGACGCTGGGGGGACTGTCTAACGCCAGGGAAAATCTCTATGTGAAAGGGGCAGAGACACCCGCATGGCCACTGTATTGACGTACGTAGCTGACGCTGTTGTGACGCAATAGAAACGCGATACTAAAACGCGATGACGTAACAGGGTACAATATCAGCACCGTCTTCCGCAGGGTATAAGTTGCTTGTTTTGCCATCAATGTGGATCGCATCATCGTACCGTTGTACGCGGTTTTCCTGTGCGTCTTGAATCACTACTTTCACTGCTTTACAGCAGTAGCAGGTAATATGCTTTATGTCCTTCCATTGAAGGAGTACAATGATCGTTGGTATGCCTCTGCGTGCTTGGACACGCCTTCTTCTAACGTCCCATGCCGAGTTGTTCACGGTGAACGAGCACCAGCCAACACCAAGCGATGAAACACCATGTTCGCTCTTACTTCTTCAAATAATGACGCGGTAAAATACATGTGTGGGTAAGTGACTGCTTTAGGTAGCTCTCGTAGAGTCTGGAATTAAAGTCTGTGACATGTACACGGTAAGTGTTGCCTGGAGGATGGCTGCTGATGTGAGATACTCAGGTTTGGTATAATTATAGTTATAAATTTACCTTTCAATTACCCTTCACATTGCCTAACACATTGCCCTTTAACTACCTTTTGTTCATGACACATTCCCCTGAATTTTCTTTCATTTCCTGGTACATTTTCCATTAATTTCTCTTCACTTTCTCTGCTTTCGTTCGCCACCTCCATACTTGTCATCAGATCCAGATACTAAGTGTAAATTTCCGGCCAGAAAAATAACTCGCGGTATCAGGAAGAACATGATACGAGAAGAGGTGGCACGAGGAATCTTTGATACGTATCGAATTTTGGGAAAAATTTTACTCCTGGTGTCAGGAGAACATGACTTCGGGGCAACCTCCTCCAGGGTTGGTGAACTCACGTAGGGGACGTTTAGCCGGGGTGATCTCTGTTGTCATAACGCTCACCTAGCGTTATTAGCGCCGGTTTGGGAGTTTGTCATAGTGTTGTGCTAATTAACGATCAAATATTTAAACGGGGATCGAAGGGGCTGCTGGTTACGTTGTAGGCAATAAATTATCGCGTTGCCTCGTGGGAGAGTACATTCGTTTGAAAGACATTGTTGAAAGTTTGAAGTCTGGAAATAAAGCAGAGTGACACGTTTTTAATTATTTGAGCGAGTTGGCTTGCTTGCATTGACGTTCGAACGGGTTTATTTGGGTCACGTTAACGCAAACAAAAGGTTAGTTCTTTGTGAATTTCGTTCCATGCTTTGATAAATAATTTTGGACAGGAAATAGAGGATGGTGCATTTGCACTTGCTTGGTAAGGTTTCCTAACTCGAACCGCAGTCTCCTACTGCATTTGGTTCACTTTATACAACGCTAATATGAACAACAATAGAGATAAACTCTCTGTGATATTCTCCTCCATGAATGCTACCTGATTAGGAAGAGGAATATGTTTGCACCTGTTTGGCGAGGTTTGAATCGCGACGATTCATCCACGGTTCTCTGTCTCGGCTCACCGTTGTTAGCGTCGCGTTTTATTTGCGCTGACGCGCGGTCTTGTAATAGCTCTATTACCATCCGACACAGATAACGTTAATAGAAGCAACGCGAGTGACAAGTCATCGCCGCTTTGAATTGCAATTACGGTACGTAGCGCGGTCGCTCGAGAGAAAGAAGCGTTAATTGCACGACAATGCCTGTCTGCGGGACACCTGTATCGTTTTCACCGTTCGGAATCGTAATTCTTCAGGAATTCGAAAGAACTCGAAGACAAAAAAAGAAATGAAAACTTTCCGTCGCGTGTCTCTGAATTGCTACGTGTTTGCAAGGTCGCGCCGACCGTCCAACGTCTTCAGACGTCGGGGGTGGATTCAATATCCCGGATCACGGGTTTTGCGCGACGTTTAATTGCTGAAACACGGTGTAAGTAACAAGTCACCGGACCCATTAAACGGGTCGTTAGATGGAAATTTAGCGCGTGCTTGTAATGCTAATTTATTAATGCCCGCGGAACGGGTTGCCGCCGCGGAAAGGGAAATTTATTCCGCCAGCTAGGACCTTCGTCTGTCGGCGGACTAACGGCACATGCAAATTCGACTTACGATCTGCGCTGACTATAAACCCCGGGGGTTGGAAGGCACGTCGATCGTGGCCAATAATGCCGATACTGCGTCTGCGACTCCAATGTCGTGATTCGTGTCGAATGTACTGTTGGGGAGGTGGAAGAACGAGCCTAGGAACGAACGTGGTCCTATTGTCACCTAGTACGATTTGCTTTGTCGCTATTACTCCAAGGTTGCGATTCGAGGTTGGGTCAGGTGTTCAAATGTACTGTTAGGAAAGCGGAAGAACGAATCCGAGAGGAATATGGTTTTACTATGCTTTGTTCTGTAGCTGCTACTCCAAAGATGTGATTCGAGGTCGTCCCAAGAACCGAACGTACCGTTAGCCACGCGAAAGAAAGAACCTAGGAGGAATGTGGTCCTATCGTGGTCTACTATGTTTCGTTCTGTCGCTGCTACTCGAAGGTTGCGACACTGAAACGTCTGAAACCCGTCACGGATATTCCGGCCCGGTGCTTTCGATGTTTTGACGACAGCAAAGCGACCGGGTCGCCAAGAATAAACCTGGAATCAATAGCGGACGACCCCGGGGGAGACGGAGACGGGAAGAGCCAGAAAGGGACAGCCAGAGGGTGGAGACACGAAACCGAGGGAGGTCAGGGCGGAGATAGAACAAGCATCATAGAAAGATACCTAAGCCGCTTATTGTCTGAGCCGCTGAATCTGCAGACGTAAACGAGTACGCAATTATAAGCGCAATATGCCCCTAGGAGGAAGCGTACGCCGAGCATGGGGATGTGAATGCTAATGCGTACATCCATGGAGCGAAGCGTTTAGATATCGCGCTGGATCGGGATGATCTCCGAAATAAGCTCTGGATGGGGCACGTAACAAAGTGATCTTTGATTATCTGCATGGTGGAAGGTGGACAGTGCGCAAAGGATGAGAAATAGGATGCAATGAGCTTTAAGGTGTGTGCATGTAGGATGTTCACGATGGGATGCATCGTGTATCCCTGGAAATAAATGTTTAGATATCATGATGGACATACGCAGCAAAGTGATCTCTGATTATTTGCAGGGCGGAGGGTATAAGGTAGAAAGTGTCCGGATGATGAGAAATTTGATGCAAGAACCTTTGAGGAATCTGTATGTGTAATGTTCTCGATGGGATGCTTTGTGCATCGTTGGATATAAATATCCATACTCCACATAGACAACAAAGTGATCCTTGCGAATGGTTGATCCCGGCGAAAGTCTGAAAGTGTCTGAAAGTGTCGAAACGTCGAGGAATCTGATACAACGAGCTACGAGGAACATTCACTTACGATGTTCGCAGAGGTCTATCACTTCGCATCGCAGAAGACGGAATTGAAAATAATGACGCGGAGAGGAAGTGGCTCGTCTTCGATCTACCCGAGGGTAAACGTAATTCTTCCGGTGTGCGATCGCTGGCGATCCTATCGGTGATTCCTCGACGAGCGACTTTTATTAGACAGCGAAATAAATTACAGCCGGCGGGTGAAGAGCTTAATGATTGCAACGAGCTGCAATTCCGTCATATTACTCGATACGACGCGAGCGGCCAGTGGGAACGGGAATTCGCCGTGCGTGTCGCGGGGGCGACGAAATCGCCATTATTTAACAATTCGTGACCGTTTGCTTCAATCTCGGCCCCACTGGCCTCGAAGGCTACCTCGTAGTTGCCTGTTATGGCTCTGGGAGCAATCGACCACGATAACGACCAAATTTTGGGACTCGCTTGTAATCAGAGGGTGAGTTTCGATCAGCCATTTTCTGTTGGAAGGTGAATAATATTTCTCGATCCTAATGCTTTCCTTCCTCGTACAATTTCGCGAGGAAAGTTACATTTTATCTGTTACATGTACAACAAATTCGAATGACTTTAATAAAAATAATAAACGCAACCGTGTTTACCTTTTCTTTCGTTCTTACGAATATTTCATATCAAATCCCATAGAGTAACATCGCCAAAAGCTACTTCTAACAATCTCGAAGACTATCTCTAAACATCACTCGGGATTGATTCTACAGAGACCCCACAGCGCGATTAGTAATTTTCCTCACTTAAGAATGAAAATGACTCGCATCCAAGGCCTGCATACTTACGCAGCAACGAATAAAGTTTCCGCTAACCCGCTCTCAAGACAACCTCCGAACGTTCCCTCGATTTTCTACCATCGTTCGAAGTCCTAAACGCGAAAAAAAAAAAAGGAACAGCATCGATAATTGGTACATTTGCCCCCGCCCCCTCTGCCGAATAGAAGGAAAATCGTCCAATTTCGATGGATCTGAAATTCCGGTCGCGATTCAAGCCAATTTGTTTCCGCGGAGCGCGCCTCGCGATCTCGACCGTTTCCATTCTCGTTCCCCTTCATCCTCTCCCCCCGTCCCACCGTTTCCTCCACGGTTCTATCTCCGTCTCTTCCTCGTTCACCGAGTTAAATACTCTAATTCGTATTAATGGATGGCCCGCTGCCAGTGGAACGTTTCTAAAGGGGCTCTTCCCAAGCCCCCGAGCCAGAATGGACGCGTTCGCAGAGTACGTTCACACCAATTGACCAGACCTTACCATCGACTGGTGGCCAGGTCTCGCTGGAGGATAGATAGGACATCCTCCTCGACTTTGGAGGCGGGTATCTTCGATTCGACGCGACCCATCGCGACTACGGAGGTCTCTGCGGTCTCGCTTCTCCTGGGAACTGCGGAAAACTGTATTTAACGCGGGAAGAGCCTGTGATCGATACCCCCGGGAGAGACCGAAAACGGGTCATAAAGGAGCCCTGACCGCGAACACGTGGACTTAAGCTCTCCAAGACCCTCCGAACCGGTCTGTCCGACTCTAATTTCCACTCCGACGATCCGAGAAACTTCCGACCGTTGAGCTCCTGGCGAACGGTTGATAACGTTGGAACGAGAGATTTCTATAAAATTGTAGAAATGGAGATGAAACAACTGTTACTGAAAGGGTAAATATATATATTTCTGTGAGAGTGTTACCGATAAATTGCTGAGGTTCTTCCAATGAAAACAAGCCCAAACACGATCCCATTCGGAGCACTTTCTTATACCCGGTGGAACATTTTCACAAATTATTCGAATTACGCGTTATCGAAAGTAGTCCGAATGCTTTTGGTAAACGATCGAGGGTATTCGAAATTTACCTAGACTCTATGCTATTCTAGGAAGTTGAAATGCGATTGATTGTAGAGAGCTGTACAGCTGAGAAAAGAATGAGGAGTATTTAAGTAGTAGAAGATATTGCGCTGCTTGTTTTGAATTAAATTAGTTGTTCCCTCTGCCTCTAATTTCTATCGCGATAATCCAGGAATTTCAAGTTCCGTTGCTCGAATAGAGCTGTTGGTGTACAGCTGATGAAAGAACGAAGGATTTAGGGACTGCAGGGAAATTCCACTCCATTGTTTAAATTAAATTGCTCGCCAACGTGGAATATTCATCTAGCATCTCTGCCTCTAATTTCTACCTCTGATTCTCGGGCAATTTTGAGCTTCGTTGTGCTGCACAATTTACATGCTCTCAAAGTACTCAGCATTAAGCGAATAGTTAATAAGATAGAAAAGAAAAATAAGCTGCAAACAATGTAGAAACCGGGGGAAATAAATGACGAATAATCATTACTCGATGTACCTAATCACTTGAAACTCTCTCAAGTTGTCGACGAGTGGAACATCGAAACATTTATTTGTTAACTTTGTCCTCTATTCTAGATCAATTCAGAAGACACGCGCGATGCGTCCCAGATTCTACAATCACCCTGTACATAGGATGAACCAATCAAGCTGCGTCACACGAGTAACAAGTGCACTCGTGGAGACCAGGAGCATTTGATACCATGAGACACCATGCGCAGGAAGCTTCACGTTTACAAGTGGAAGCGAGGAAAGCGAGATCAATGTTGGACTGCGACCTGGTCCGTTGAACGCATGATTACTTAATCGATAAGGAAGCTTAAAAGGATCCTTATCGTGTTCGTTTCAATTTCAAAATAAATTTGTAAACAACGAAAGTGTAACTCCACGTACATTCCTCGATGACAAATAAAACTGATGGTTCTTTAAAAATTCTCCACCAGTGATTCTTATTGTATAATCCCTCTCCATCTTCTTAATTATACACGTATATCTGAGAGACTCCTACTTCGCCTACGACCCAAATACGTATCGACTCGACTTTCAATTACCAAAATAAAGAAACGATTAGTGCCTAATGTACCTGGGGCTCCGAAAAATCCCAGTAACGAAACGTCTCCGACGAATTCGCTATCGACCAGTTTATTTATTTATTCCACGGTCTATTAGCCCCGAGTTCCCTTTCCCGGCACTGGTGGCCGCGGCCATTGCGTTCGTGGAACTCGGCCGCATGCCGGTCGAATCGCGGCGCGACCGATTGGCTCGCCTATGCGTGGGCATCCAGTAGCGACGCATGTGGCAACGACAAGTGAATTCAGCATGGGTCGCTCGTATTTCTCCTCTGGAACGTGACTTTATTTCTGTCCGAGGAAGGCCGCTTCCCTGGCCCGCGCGTGGTCGTGATCGTCATTCCAACAGGACGTATCGGTTCCGACACTTTTTGGAAAGAAAGCTCCGGGGGAGCCGGCCGTAACGGACGCCCGACAAACAATGCGCATCCGCCCGTGCGGCTTTTACGACAATGCGATAATACGTGGAACGAATATACACCTTTCCTTGGCGGTGAACTGGGTTCTGCTCGGCCAGAACGGTGCGATTGGCGCGGAGTTTAAGTTAGAACACGATTCCGATGGATACAGATTGATACTTCAATTTGTGTTTAATAGACGTGCATCGACTAAGCATGGATTCGAACCATCGTTATTGTTATCGATGGATTTGTGAGATTTTTCTGTTGAAAATGAGCCCGGGCACGACCTCATTCGGAGTACTTTTGATAACGCGCAATTCGAATAATTTGTAAAAATGTTTCACCGGGTATAAGTAAAGTACTCCGAATGAGGTCGTGTTTGGGCTCGTTTTCATTGGAAGAACCTCAGCAATTTATTGGTAACACTCTCACAAAAATATATTTATGAAAATGTTATTTTTACTACCAATTATTTGAATCTACTCCTATAACAAACAACACGCACCTACATTAAATAACGTCGAGAGACAGTAATGACCCCGACAGTGGTAAGAATATCGTTGTATCGAGAGCCGATTCTGTACACCTGACTCCCGAGAAATCCAGCTTCCGAGGAAGAATTAAGACACTGTTCGCATCAGAAGCGAACGTACGCGGCTCGAAGATTGCTATTCCAATGCTCGAACAGTCTTTCCGTGTTCGTTAACGCGGTCTTTGGCATCGCGGAGACGAGGACGGCCGCTCGGGAGATTATTTTTTCATCGAACGGGAGCGAAGCTGCATATCCGTCAATGAGACGCGCATCGTATATTTATGAGGCTGCTATATCCATCTCCGTGGCTCGTCCGACGCGTTGGTTTCTTCGCGGGAGCGGAGCCGTTGCGTTGGAAATAACTAACATTAATCATTCTTACGTGTTCGCGAGTTAAGTTTCTTCCTGCCATTGCAGGGGCGACGCGAACCCCCCACGTAATTCGTATTCCACCCTACCGCGGTCCGTGGTCTATTTTTATTTTCGCTCCTCGAGGATCCTACGCAGAGTCCAAGATATTTCAAACTAGACGCTAAAATTACGAAAGCGAAACCGAGGGAACGTGGAAGCTTGTCCAATGGCTCGGGAGGATCTCGAGGCAATAAATTAACCGGTGCGAATTTTTCTAATTTTCTGGAGAATCCAAAGAAAACTTGTCGATTGTTTTCTTTCGTTGAATTTTGGTTGGTGGTGTTGGTAAATCGTAGAGATCAAGTGAAGTCTCCAAGGTTCCAAGTACAAGTTCTACGTAGAAAATTATTTTCTGCGAGCTCGTTCGAAATTCATCGAAGCTGCTTGCCCTATAAATAAGATGCTAGCTTCTGGAAGTAAAGGTTTTGCTACTTAGACTGTAAAGAACGCCAAGAACCTTGAATAATAAAATAGCAGCGACTTACGACGACTTGCAAATGAAACATTTTTATTTTAATTGTAGCATCCTTATTTTAACCGTTCCAGAAGCTTATAGGGATTCATCGGGTGGCAACCAGCTACTCACGGACACTTTCCAGCTATTTCTATTTTTCAGCGGGGTACGGAGGCAATAACAGCCTCGCGACGAGCGGCGATAATCCTGGAATACGGACCCGAGGAGCTGAAATTATTTCGGCTCGTTTAACGGATTAACCTTATCGCGGCGAGGAGGAATTTTTCCTTGCGCGAGCTGCTTGGGAATTATTTATCGGAGCTCCTTTCGCGATCGAGCCCGTTCCTGTTAGCAGCGATAATTTAAACTTCCCTTGGTCCATGTTCGATTCCGTTTTACGACGGTTCTCTTTGTTTAATTTATTTTCCGCTGCTCCATTTTCTCTCTGCTTTACTTATTCAGGTCTTTCTACGCCTTCTGCGTTCGATTTTCACCGCATTTCTCGGCTCTTTCGTGTTCTCTTTGCTACTTTATTCCTGGTTTTTATCTCGGACCCGTTGTATCCCTTCGACATTTCGTAATAACTCAAGGATCTTCTGTCTGATATAAACACTTTCTACCTCCTTTCCACTCTTCATACGAAGAGTCTTGTGATTAAGAGATAACTCTTAACAAACCATTTAACCATGTTCGTGCTACGTATTCCCCTCGTTTGTTTCAATTTGACATGTAATAGGTAACATTTACCCTTCGCTCTGTCTATTTGCCGCACTACCCCGTGTCTTACTTTCTCGCTGCTCCTCCCACCGTGTTCCTTTCTACTCTATTTACTTTAGAGACAGCTTCTCTTTCGCCTCCTTCCTCTGTGTTTGCCAGTACCCGTCTCACCACCTTCTCGCTGTCGCTGGGGTATCTCACGCAACGCGCAAGCTCATTCACGTCGTACCCAACCGTATCCTTCTCGACAGTCGGGCGCTCCAAAGAACGTCCTTATCTACTGCAGACGGTATTGATTCCAGGCCACGCAGAATGGGCCAGAATCTGCTCGTACGACGCCAAAAATAATTGACTGATATCGCGGAAATCCTCGACAAACATTGCGGAAGTATGAATGCAATAAAAAACAAAAATACTTTCTACGTATATCTTTGCGAAAATATTATCGATACATCGATGAGGTTCTTCCAAAGAAAACGAGTCCAAACACGACCCCATTCGAACTACTTCGCTTATACACGGTGAGACATTTTTACGAATAACTTGATTCGCGTGGTGTTAAATGTAGTCCGAACGAGGTCGTGTTTGGGCTCGTTTTCAACGAGAGGAGCTCACGAATTCGTTGGTAATGTTTCCACGAATTTACCGTGACGAATGTGCAAATTTCATTTATAAAATATCTCGCTCTTGCGCGAAATAGCTATCCACTATTTCTCTCCGCGCAGCTTCCTCCATCGAAATCGTTTAATTACTTCTGTCGTGGTCGAAACGAATCCTGACCAACCGTGCCAAGCCGCGAAATGGACCAGCCATGCTTCTCTTTTCTCAGCCGCAACAGGAAATGAGGCCTCTGTCTCCCGGGGCGAACGAAATAGAAACGAAAGATCGCGACACGCCAGGAAATTGAAAAATCTCGTCCCGCCAGCTTCCGAAAACTCCAACGAAATTTTCCTTCCAGTCGAACGACGCTGTCCCAGTTTCTTTTATTTACCAGGTTCGCCGTTTGAGTTCCACGCGACTTTCCTCCGACGCGGAAAAGTCTTATCGATCGGTTGTCGCCACAGAGTCTCCTTTGTTCGAACGGCGATTTGTATCTCGATGAATCAGAAGACGAAGATAAAGGTAAACCTCGACCGTCTTGCGCCTTTGCCACGGGCAGATGCAGCAGCAGGCGGTCTCGTTGCTCGCCAGGACGAGTTTCCCTTGGGCTTTTCACCGAGCGCACGAGAGGCTTGCGGAAAATTTGTGGGAAGAGAGGAAGAATCGTTTATAGGGACTATTGGATCGGAACCGGGAGCGGGAATCTCTCTTCTTTTGTCGAATAAGTGATTCATCGAGGCACTCGACGTCTCTTTGTCTAATCCTCCAGCTTGGAATCGACGTCGAACGTGTCTGAGAGTAGAATAACGTTTCCATAGAGCGCAGGCCGATCCCGAATTTGCGCAATTCCTTGAATTATGTTGAGGAGTTTTCACTGGTGAATGGATTTTACTTTCTTTCTTCTCAAGAGCTAACCCAGATGTAACACTGAATTTGTTCGACTCCTTAAAGTACATATATTGGCTGGTGAACGGATTTTCTTTTCGCTTTCTTTGACGATTTTCTGATTTTCTTTCTTCTGTATACTTCGTCTTCATATAACGGAAACTAAGATCGCATGGTACAAAACTTTGTAAACAAAGCAAAATATTCTACGTACATACTCCCGCTTCGACGATTATAACTAGAATCTGAATGTTCTCCAAGAAGCTTGACAACTTTCAATTGTTAAAAATGGCCTCGCGTCAGCCGAGCTATCCGCGAAGAGCACAGAGAACTATTTGCCCCGAACGCGATCGAACAGAATGGAGCGAAACTTGGAAAAGGGAAATGACCCGACGAAATGCCAGCGGTTCCTTTATTTCGTTCGCCTGGATTTTCAACGGGAAACGAATTCGATTAGCGATACCCCCGGCCTCCGTTCCCGACAAACGAACCAACCGACCAGCCAGAACTTTTAATTACTTGTTTGCGATATCCAGTCGAACAACGCGATACGCTCGAAGTCGAGTTTAATTTTCGGTGGACGTTCCAACCCCGGCGCCCGCTCTTTCTTCCGCTCGTCCTTTGTCCACTTGAGAGAGGGAGGGCACTTTTCTTTCTGGGCTCTCTCTCTCTTTTTTTTTTTTTTTTTTTTACACCGACGGGTTAACGAGAAAACTTTCGAGGCTTTGTCGAATATTCAGTGTTGCCGTGCGGACATAATAAACAACGTTGGCTTCTGGAGAACTTTCGGCGACGTTATCGAATTCGATAACAAGATACCCTGGCTCGCGACTGCGCTGATAACG